ATTTCTTCACTACCCTTCATTGTACTCGTCTCCACCCAGGAGATGGGGAAGGTCGGGGGGCTAGAGAGGAGGAGGCTCCCATTCCTGCTCCCGTTCCTGATCCTGTCCCTCTCCACCAGCACTCACCTGTTGATCAGTTGATAGAGAGGTTTGATCATTGGGAGACTCATTTTGACGCCTACGTTGCTGCACAGGAGCAGCAACATTCTGAGGACATTGCCCGCTACGAGCAGAATCGGGCAGAGGACTTAGCCCGCTTTGACAGTTACATGGTTCACCAGCAGCAGCAGCATGACCAGGACATCGACTGGTTCAATGCTTAGTTTACTTCACTTGCCAGCTACTTTCAGCAGCCACCTCCACCACCTCCATCTGATGATCTGGATCCCTCGTTGTTTTAGTCTGTACTTTGTGTTGTTTGTTTCCTGTCATTTTGTAGTTTGCTTGTTAGTCTTTTATGATATTTTCTTTTTTGTATCTGGACCCTCTTTTTGTGATGACAAAAGGGGGAGTAGGGTGTAGGAAAAAGCTGTTGGGTTTTGGGTTTGTAACTTTGAAACTTTAATGAAACCTTTTTTTTTAATTTCCTACTTGTGTTTGCCATCATCAAAAAGGGGGAGATTATTGTAAATCTATTTTTCATGGCTTTTGTTTTGATGATTGACAAACACTACTTCTCTTGGACTACTTGTTGCTTCTAACTTTTCAGGAATCGAAGATCGGACGATCAAGAAGAAGCCAGTTCAAGATTGCGTAGGTTTAGGGTTAAGTCATTCTGTACTTTTGTTTTTTACCTTTTGAGTCCACTTGTAATGGTCAAAGAGACTGATGCTAAGTAACCCTACACACACACATACTTGAGAGACCTAGAATTTCTGTTTTTGCCCACATCGACCAGGCCGATATTTATATCGTCCTGGATGATCAGCTTAAAACAGAAAGTCTAAATAAGGATTGTTAATTAAGGCAGCCGTCATTAACATATCGGCCTGGACGATACGTGTATCGGCCAGGACGATAAGCTCAAAACTGAAAGAAGTAGCCGCCTTAGATAATTAAGGTATACTGTATTTTTAAATTATCGGCCAGGACGATCCCCGGATCGGCCTGGACGAAATTACCAAATTATGCCTTAATTAATCAGAAAATCAAGGGAGTAATTAAGGATGATTGATACGATCATATCGTCCTGGACGATCGCAGGATAGGCCAGGACGATACATTCAAAATCCTTAAGTTACTTCAGGACGATAAATATTGGCCAGCTCAAAAATAGGGCGATGCTCAGGACGATTTGCTTCTGATTTGAACTGATCGGCCAGGACGATCTTGATATCGTCCTGGACGATCAAGCCAAATTTCAATCATCCAAGACTGTTCCCAGGGCAATGCTCTGGCCGATCTTCTGAGTTTGTACTGATCGGTCAGGCCAATGTCCATATCGGCCTGGACGATAAAGTCGGCTACTTACAATTAATGAGCTCCTCTTTAGCTCTTCTATTTAAGAGCTATTGTTCAACGTTTTTCAAGACCTTTAGCTGCTGCCTTGACCTGAGAAGACCTTGAGGAGAGAGGGAGAGAGAGAGGATCTTGTGAGGGGGAGCTTGTGAGGGAATTCACAAGGGTTGCTTCAAGGATCGCTCTGCTTGTCTTTCGTCTGGAGTTTCTCGTTCGTGGAAGGGTCGGTAGAGGTAAGGAGTTTGCTTTTGGTTGTGGTTCTCTGCTAGCTTCAGAAGGAAGCAAAAGGAGGTAGGTTCTCTGCCTTGCCGGGGTGGCAAAACGGAGGTTCTTGTAAGGGCTTCTCCGCCTAGCCGTGGAGGCTAAAGGAGAGTCGCGTTTTGTAGTGCAATACTTGGAGGGTGGCTCCAAGGAGTGGACGTAGGTCGAGTCGACCGAACCACTATAAATTTCTGTGTTCTTTTTCTTGCTTCCGCACTTTTAAATTCCGCATTTATTTTTGTGGTGTGATTTGGTTTATGCAATTTTTATTCTTTGTGAAAAGAGTTTTGAAAATACCAATTCACCCCCCTCTTGGTTAGCTTGGGCCAGTTCTATAGGGCTTAACATCCCTAACGAACTTTCAAGACGGATTCCTAAATTGGTGGGTGTTAGAGCGGGAGGCTCCCAAGATATGATTGCTATCTCTATTGGCCATTGAAGAAATACTTAGAGTTGTGGAACCATTTTTCCTGAACGACACCAAATAGTTGCAAGCTAGAATATACACGATGATAGAGTTAGAAAATTTTTGTCTCAGCATTGTATGGATATCTAGCACACAAATAGAAGAAAGTGTAATGCAAGAACTTTTATATGAAAACCCTAGAAAAGGTGAAAGCCATGGGGCCACAGCTACTTGAAAGGATTCCTATAATGTTTACTTAGATTACAAGTGGCTAACTCATACCATAAATTGAGGACGATCAAATTACAATAATCAATAACATAGTTGAAATTCAATTACAAATAGAGATCAGAAACCTAACGAAGATTGGTGGTCAGGCAGAAATCCGGCTTCAACTGACGTTTGGGCAAAAATCAGGCGTTAGTTAGCTATCAGGTAGAACTCCTACATTAGACTAAGGTCTGACAGAACTCTGACATCATTCGGCAGTCGGGAAAAACTCCAGTGTCAGATGATGGTCGGACATAACTCCGGCTTCAGTCGATAGTCGGGCAGAACTACGGCGTCGGTCGGCTGCCAAGTGGAAGTCCGGTGGTGGTCGAGGAGTCTGGTGGCAAGAAAGCTCTTTTCCTTCTCTTCTCTTCTTCTCTTCTCTTCTTGCTTGGGTCCCCTCTCATGAAAAATGAGAAGTCTATTTATAATTTTCTAAGAGTAGCTTGACTACTAAATATGAGGAAGATCAAGGTTAAATTGGGAATGGTTTGAATGGATGACCAATATTGAATCCCTTAATCATGGATCATTTATTTGGCAATTGAATGTCTTAATGATATCACAATTGGACGATCTTGAGCTCACAAGATTTGTCTCATTGAGCTGCTCGATTCAACTATAAGCATGTCACGTTTGAAAACTGTTTTCTAATCAAAATTATTGTTTGAACCTTCCAAATGCGCTTCGGGTATTTAATTTGGGCCCATTTGAGCTTGGATTGGGTCGAATTTTGTGTCGTTGGGTTCGTATTTTTGAGACCTTCAGTTCGACTATAAGTTTACTAAAATCGGAATTCATATGATTTCTAATTTAAGTTTTGAAGTTTTCAACTTGATTTTTGCATCGAGATTTGTGCCCGATCAAGATTATTTTTTGATGATATATGGGAGATAAAATAGTAAACACAAACAACTATACAAGTAAACACACTATAAACTTGCTCTCTACTTTTAAAATATGCATAGTAGACACAAAAAATCATAAGAGAAATAAAATTATTTCTCATCAAGCAAATCTTACCTAGAAGTCTTCTTCCAATGGGCAATTGCGACAAAATACCTAACTAATTAACCCAGCCTTAAAATCATATCAAAAGATATCAATGGTTAAGTATAAATATAGAGATGTCAAGCCGGCCTTATGGCTTATTGCTCGTTCTAAAGGAAAACCAACACATTATACACCTAAAATACTTACTTCCTTTTATTTGCATCACAAACATCGCTGATTGCACATATGAAGAGGGAGAAGGGATGACATGCAAAAAAAATTGTTTAGAGGCCCAATATGCATTAATGTTGTTTCCTCATACTAACTTGTGAAATTAACTTTCTGAGGAATGCATACTCCTGAATTTTTTCGGATGAAAAACTTTGTAGTTGGATAAGTGAGGAGTCACAAGCACACCCGAACAAACGAGAAACTCGGGCCGCTGACGACGACTGAGAAGCATAGATGAATTTCACGGAGACAGGGAGGGGAGCAGAACGCCAGTGCAGGAGATAGGGTTCAGGCGAAGAATAAACGAACGAGAAGAAAGAAACTATTAATAGTAGATTTAGGATAACAACAGATTTAGATCGAATGATTGAAATTCAATTTTGAGGATTTTGTCAGGTTTTCCAAAACAATTCTCAGTTCGCCAGATGAGTGGTTTGACCACCAGTTCTTTTCGGTCTTAGACATTTTAGTCAAAATATGTTCTTATAAGAATCCGAACCGGCTAGCCAAGAGGTTCACGGTTCAACCCGTTGAACCAATCGTATCGATCGAATTTTTAAAACCTTGCTTAACGCAGTTAACCCGAAGTCTCTAAATCTAGATGGTTAAATAGCTAATTACCTAAACAGCCACAAGAGGAGAAGGAGAGCAACTCATGAATTAGGTGTGTTAAAACAGGTCTACAGGTCGGCTTTGGTTCTAACTCGAATTGATTTGGTCCAAACGAGTTGATCCTAACCTGACTCGATTTTGCAAACGGTTCAAGAATTTCAACCAGGCCTCAACTAGCCAGGTTACCAGGTTAACCTAACCCGACTCGCTAACCTAGAATACAATAATGAGATTGGGCGCGGTTTGCACAGACGCAAAGCACGAGCCTTAAGGCGGCCATGGAAACAAGCGATGGTCCGAGTGTAGTGCTGGCTCAGAAGTAGGGCTAGCGGGATAGGTTTGATTTGCAAGAGTGAGAAAGGTACGGCGCTGTCACGGTCTCAAGCGCAAGTCAGTGCTGTTTAACAGTGGACGCGAGTCACTAGCGCGGGAGGGCGCAGTCGCAATGTGAGCATGGATCTAGCTTTGCCAGTGGATTTGAGTGCGGGAGGATGGGCGGGTCCTGCACGGTTGCAAGCATAGGAGCTTTGTAGGCGATCACAAATTGGTCGGCTGTGGGAGGTCACGAGGGCAGAACATCATCAAATTTTTGGTCAAATCAGGTCATCCTCGAATTTTCGAGTTAACCCAAACCTGATTCGACTATAAAAATGGGCTGGAATCTCCAATCCGAACTAGACCCGTATAGGGCAAACTGGGGTTGACCGAACTTAAATTTTTTTTGAATCTGATGGGGATGAGGTTTTGGGCCGGGCCAAATTTTCACACCCTATGTGGAATTACGCCACTAATATTTCTCAGTGAGAGGAGAAAAACGAAGTAATGGGAAAAAGCGGGAGGAAGTCGAAGGTCTCTCAAAGGCAACGTCGCATTCTTCATGGAGTCGGTGACGACGCGTTACCTTCTTCTGCTTATGATATTCCTGAGGACCAGGAAGTACGCGGCCGCCGTGCAGATGGAGAGGGGGAAGAGGAAGATGGGAGCGCAACTGGAGATGCGGATTTGGTAGAAAATGAGACGTCAATGGGCGCTTTGCTGAAGTTCGATCTCTACCAGCAATCTGTTCAGGTGCGGTATTCCGCAAGTTTTCTTTGGTTCTCTTTAGGGTTTATTGACCCTGATTTCTATGGTATTTTTATCCTTTGTTTTTTATGGTTGTTGGAATTGCTGGGGATTTTATGAAGTCACCCAAGGGAGATATAAGCTACTTGCAGAAGTTCTTTCTGATGTATGTGGGAGGAAGACGACCGCTACACTTGCAAGAAGATTTCTGTGGCACCGCCCTTCTCTGGTAATAATCCTTGATATCCTTACTGTATTCTATCTCCTGGTTACTTTATAATTACTCTGTATTCACTGAAATTTTGAGATAGAGCTGCTTTAGGAGAGTGGGGGTTCAGGGTTTATGTGTCAAATGGTTTATTTTATGATTTGCATTTGTACTGACTAATGTGGTTTTCTTGACTGCCCGATGTCGTTTTTAGAATGGATTAGTAGAAACATGAATCTGCTCTGGGATGAAACTGAGGCTATGCAAGTAAGAGTTGTGGCCTTGTAGGAGAATGGCGAATGCATGCATGGATTGCAGTTTCAACTTTATCTAAACATGATAAAACAAGAAAAATATTGTAGTGAAATTCATTATATGCTTGTGAATTTTCCATTACAGATGGGATTTAATGAGAAGTTAGATATCTTGCGTTCACATTGTAGGTCTCCCATGCCTCACTGGGCCTAGCATTCATTTACAAGATCTTGTAGCATATTTGGGCTCTTCTTATAAGTTAGACCATATGCGTAACTTCTACACTGCTTTCACGTATGGTATATCGGAGGGAAAATGTTACTTCTTGCTTGTTATTTTCCATTTTTTATGTTCTATAGTTTACTCGTATCTTTTTTTTGTTGATGGTTTTATTTAGATTCTTTTTTTTAATAATATTAATGAAGTTCTCCATCAGGGAGAGCATCAGCATGCAGTTTATGCTGGCAAGTATCATTGTAGAAATTCTTCAGAGTTGATTTAACAGTATCAGCATCTTTCAAGGGGTAAATTTTCGAAATAAGCAACATTAATAATTAA